AAATAAAATTTCCATTCAATCAATGAGGTCCACTAAAAATAATCCAATCATCATTTTTCCTCTTTTTTTTTTGTTTTTGCATATTTCTGCAGATCTCCCCCAAGCCCTAATTAACGAAACAAAATTACAATTTTGCCATCGTGCCCTTATCTTCTTCAGTTCTCACCCTCTTTTGCCCCCTCATTCATCTTCCTCTCGTCTCCAGTGCTTCGTGGGTTTTGGACTTTTGCGTTGAACTGATTCATTACATTGTCTATTTTCTTCTTGTTCGTAGAATTTTTCATGAATTTCGAAAATTTTGCTTCCCATTTTACATTTAGAATGTAATACTGACTACCCATTACTATATGAAAAAAGTTTTTGAACACAGGAATCTGCGTTTTTGCTTCCCATTTTTCATGATTTCCCCTCCTCCGAGTTCTGTGCCGTTGCCGGCCTTTTTCACCAAAAAATGCGTCGTTGCTTTCATTTGAACCCAGCAATCTGGGTTTTCATGGAACCAATTTCTGGGTTTCAAAACCCAGATTTAACAGATTTTTTTGGTTATCAAGCAAGAACCCGAACTAATTTCATCAAACTTAAAATTGCCACAAAAAAGAGAAAATTGCGAGAAAACAAAAGGCCTCTTCCCTGTAAATCCTCGCCATCATCATCATTACCGTAGACTACAATACCTCACTAGCTCACCGTCAAACCCTCTAAATCTCCACATCTAGGTTCTCAATGAAGAACCATGAGATGAAAATAGATCAGCGATGATGACCGTATAAAACCAAAATCTCAAGATGAAGAGATGAAACCGAAATCTACAAATCTGATTCTCAAGCCTCGTATGTGTGTTCCCCTTTTTTTTTCTTTTTTTTTCTTTTTTTGATTTAGCTGTTGTGTTCCCCTATTTTGAGAAGGTTCAACAGAGGAAGAGGTCTTGCGGGAAGATGAAGGTTGGAGAAGAAAGATGAGGGAGAAATAACGTGCTCCTAATTAGAGTATTATTATTATTATTTTTTTTTTGATGGGTCGACTGAAACTGAAAATGATTAATTGCCTATTTTGACCACTTAAATTCATTAATTAATTGTAAATTATATACTCCTAATAAACGTTAAAAGAGTTAATTGGGTTATAATTAATATATTAAAATATTTAACTTCAATGGGTCCTTTTCCTACGTAATTATTTTATATTAGAAAATAATTTTTTTAATGGTAATAATCAAAGAATAATTTTTTAAATAATTTATATATTATTAAATAAATAAATTTATTTAATATTATAAATTTTAAATAAATATAAAAAAATTAAAAATTTAAATAATATGTAAAATTATATAAAAAATAATATAAAAACACCATCCCTAAATTTAAAAAAAAAAAGGAAAAACCAACTTACCCGGTCAACTTTCAAAAATTTCCCCCTAATATTTCAGATAAAAAAAAGATGAATCAAGCCAATACTTGAGAATTGCAGTGATAATTTTTTTTTATTAAAAATAAAAGGTTTTAAATTCAAATAGCATATAATATGAATAGGATGAGATACAAAATAAAAAAATCGTTATTTCTCGTTACGTCATCACCATGAAAAAAGAAAAGAAAAGAAAAGATGAACTTACATAAAATAGAGCTACATCCTCACTACCCGACGGAGGGATTAAAAACGGTGGGAAAAAAAATAAATATGAGGGATTAAAAAAGAGATTTTTTAAATTTAAGAACTAAAAAGGTGCTCCATATAAAAGTTAAAGGACCTAAATGGGGTAAGAAAAACCCACTAATAGGTGAAGGTGGAGTTGGAATCCACTTAAAATGCTTGAGCTGAAGAAGGCATGGGAGTTTTTAATGGGACACCCTCAACATGCTTCAAAATAATCAG